GCAGATTTTATCCCAACCGTTGATCTAAGTATGCATGATAGACACGGATTACATATTTCAGTGTGAAATTTGAAACCGATCTAAGCAGTTCAATGTCAACCGGATGTCTGAATCCCTCTCGGTGTTAAGCTAAAATTTCAGAGTTCGTAGCGTCGTAAACTCGGAGCCGATCCTGTCGTGTAAACGTGAACTCCGAACGAGAAGCGACCATAGAAGCAGAAGCAAGCCTACGCGACTCACCGATCGCAGCAAACAGCAGTGCCCTCGGCTCCGAATCCGCCACGTGTCCCGCCGGCCACCTATTTGCCGCGCGACGGGTTCCTCCGCCGCCGCACGTAGGGCTAGTTTGGATGGGACCCTGGGCTAGTTGCCTGGGCCATTCACCTGCCTGGGAGCTGCCTGTATTCAGTTGCAAGATTGCTTGGTCAGGCAAAGCTGAAATTCAGACGTCGTTTGGTTGATGGCCTAAAAATCAGCTTCAGCCAGTAAAAAGGTCAGGCGCTGTTTGTTTTTTTATTCTGCCTGGGTTACACTCAGCATTATTTGAAGTAATGAACTTATATGAGTTGTATTCATAATATTACACAGAGTTCTTAAGCTATATGCTAACAAATATTACAACTTAAGATTAGATAATAGTTCGTCGATATACAAAAGCACATCAAGGCTATCCCAAGAGTCTGTCACGTACCTCTCTGACTATCAACTTCGCCAGCATCTAATTAGCATCTAGTCATACTATACATATTGATTCCAAAAGGGTGCAGCAAAAACAAGACCCCATCAGCCATAATCAAAAGATCATGTAGCTACAATCATCCATAATCAGGGACCACCAAGATCACCACCAGATAAATGGTTGAACACCCAACGCTCAAGGTATTCTTGACCTATATTGATAAGGAAGTTTCGATAAACTTGAAATTCTGGCTTGCAAAGGTGATTCCTACTGCAAGCCTATCATCCGGTGCTAATGCGATCTTCATGAGCATATCCCATAGAGGACCATTAGGGTATGGAGGAGGTGCAACCTGCGCTGGTTTTCCAAGGTTCTGTTGGATACCACACAAAGTATTGGTTATCTCCACATCCATATCATCATCGGCACAGGCAGGAGATGGTTTTGTGTTGGACTTACTGCCCCTACCAACCCGTGTAGCAGCAGGTACTGTATTAGACTTGCCAAACCTTTTTAGGCTTCATGGACTTCACACTGGATGAAGAAACTTGAGTGCTAGCTACAGCAAGGGCGGCCACCTCCTGACACTCATCACTATCAGACTGTAGTTTGTCTGAGTCTTCCCCATGTGCATCATTTGTGTTATCATAGTTAGCCATATCATTCAGCATGTCAAGTCTGTCAGTATCATCTTGGTCTGGATCAGTTGCAGTGGAAGGGTCTTGCATAAAAGAACCATCAGCTGTGCTGCCACTAAATAATTCTTGCAACTTGTCAAAGAACTGAATTGGTTTAAACAGAATCCCACGGTCATATATGCTGCTCTAGTTGACATATATGCTGCAACAATAGTACATAGCATAGTGAATTACATCATTATTCAATCCACATCAAATTAGCTAGTTCATCTCGCTTAGCCACCCATTGTCTGTTTTCTGCACCTTGATCTATTGCTACTCTAGTTGACCTGGGCAAAGTATTATACTAGAGTTCTTCATCATATATGATGTCATTAGGACCATTGTCAAGGATCCAATTGTGTAACACACAACATGCTATCACAATCTTCACCAGTATGCTAAAGGCAAAATATGGCTTGTTTGCAAGAACTTTAAAGCGATTCTTTAATGTCCCAAATGCTCGCTCAACAGTTGTACAAAGAGAGGAATGTCGAAGATTAAACAAGTCTTGTGGTGTTTCTGGATATCTCCCACCCCCATACTCCTTCAAGTGATAGCGAACACCTCTATAAGGTGGCAATATACCCGGTCTCGCTGCATACCCCGCATCAGCTAAGTAATATTTTCCTACAACACACAAGATGACTGCTTTATTGCCGCATAAAAATTTAATGTATGCCTTAAATCATTTGGACAAATATGCTAACCTTCAGGCAATGGAATTCCATTTGATCTTTTAAGGGCAGCCCTTAGAACTACGGAGTCATGTGTTGAGCCCTCCTATCCAGCAAGCACATCCACGGTTGCTAGCACATTTTGAGTTGGGTAACTTTTACGACCTCTAAACTTGTTAATTATATTTTCAGGGACAAATGCGGGGATATGAGTGCCATCAAGTGCCCCAATACAATCCTATATTGCAAGGAATTTTTATTAGTGTAATAAACTAGCCATCAAAAATAAAATATTAAGAATTGTATGTTTTGTAGTATACCTTAAAATAAGGGTAGAACCGCCCAGGGCTACTGGTTATCTTTGAATGGGTCTCTATAGACCTAAGTTTTATCATATCTTTGCAAGGGAACATAAAGCCATCAAGACCTCACTGAAATACCGGCTTACGGTCTCGCTGGATCTCTTGAAATATAAGGCAATCACACAATTTCTCAAATTGTGGCCAACTGTATGCAGAAACATAGCTAATTGTTCTTCAACCGAGACGTGTATAGTATCCCTAAGTAGACCGGAACCACACAAACGGGAGGAAAGTTTCCGGAACACAGCTTTCCTCATCCGAAGTTGACGGATGCAGTTTTTATCTGTTCCATTATATAGTTCATCCAGTCTTGTTTGCCTCACCAAATCTCTGCTCACCAAGGGCCCATATTTTATTGGCAGTCTTCTAGTGCGAAGACGCCAACGTCGCCGACGCCATTGGATAATGGCAATGAGAATAGATAGGACACTTAACATGCGAGCTCTTTGCTGGATAACATAATCGGAAATGTGGTCTTTATCCATCTAAGCATCATATGAGAAAATGTAAGAAACAAGCAAGTTGGTAGTTCAGATTAGATATACATGCATGTCGTCATTTTCTAAAGCAACCTGTACAAAGTTACTACTTTAATAAATATACATTTTGCCACTCACTTTCTAATCCTCCAGATAAAAGTGTACTAGCTAGCACCATTGGATGTCAATACGCACATGCTAAAAAATCTACTCTCCAATACTATAAGAAAATCAATATGCTTATCACGGAGAAATGTACTGAGAGAGGAAAAAAGGATCTATGTATGCACAAGCTAAAAAATGGAGTCTCACGTGCTACAATAAAATCGATCTGATTAGCGTAGGAAAAAATGTATTTGTATACATCAACCTAGAAAAAACTGCAGCCATCATTTGGACATAAACAAGAATGATAGATCAAGCAAATCAAGAAAATAGAAACATATTTTGCTCACCTTTCTGAACCAGATCTCAGATCAGTACTTTCTTGAAGTCAATGAAGAGTGAAGAGAGAAAATAATAGAGCAAACCACCAGATCCACAACCTAGAAGATCACCCAGCAGCATCCTTCATCGCCATGGAGTCCAATCTGTGATTTCCCCACTTCTGAAGAAACACCAACGAGAGAGAGAGAGGGAGGGGGAGGGAGGGGAGAGGAAAGGGAAAAAGTGAGGAGAGGATAAGGCAACAGAGGTTTACGCGGTGGTCATTAAAGCTAGGCAGCTCAGCTGGACTTCCAGGCGGTCGATTTTCTATGCCTGGCACCCGGCACCCGCGCCAGGCAAGTAAATCCCAAGGCTCGAACCAAACAACGTCGAGACAACCTACAGGCAAGGGTCCAGTCCAGGCAATTTTAGCCCAGGCAATTTTAGCCAGGCCTGTATCCAAACGAGCCCGTAATCCGGCGCAAAAGGCCTGAGGCGACGACGCAGGTGCACACGACAATCCTCACGCCGACATCCGGGCCCCGCCTCTAAGGCCTCAGCCACTGACGGCTCTGGGCATAGTTGGCCATGCAGCTCGAGCCCGTCGGTCCGGCCCTTCTCGCTTTTTTTTGCCCGGCCCAAGCACGATAACCCAGTGGCTAGCTTCATCTAGTGCATATTCAAGCCGGATGTTTGCTGTCATAAATGGAACTATGCTATCTTTGTCATGCAGTTTAAACTGAGCGAGCCGCCTGCATCTCCCCTCCTTTTTCATGTTTGGCCTTTCTGCTGCCTTTTTAAGTTTTCTATAGCCGCTTCCTCCCCCCCTGGAATCTGGGATCCGCCCGGCCACCCTTCTCGGTTGAAAATTGACGAATTGAGCTAGCTCGCCGCACGTCAAGCATCCGCCATCCCCAAGGCCCCAGCGTGGTGTGGTGGCCTCGAGCCCAGATTCAACCCTAAATCCCAACCGTCGCTCTCCTCTCCCTCTTAATAGACACGGATTACATATTTCACGTGTGAAATTTGGATCCAACCGATCTAGAGCAGTTCGGAATGTCAGCGTCTCCTCCTCCTCCCTTCTCCGGTGAGATCCCCTTTCGGTGCGACGCTGGATATTCGGAGTGGAGTTCGTAGCGTCGTAAACTCGGAGCCGATCGGCAAGCCGGCGGTGTCGCGGATCCGCGTCGAGCTCCTCGATGGGAAAAGCGACGTGTTCTTCTCTTTCCTCAAGCGATCTACGCGACTCACGGATGGGAGCAAACAGCATTTTTAGGGGAGCCTTACCCTATGATCGGCGGTGTTCTTCCGTGTCCTCGCCGCCGCCATCGTCATTTGAAGCGCGCGACGGCCGACCTCCGCCGCCGCACGTAATCCGGCGCAAAAGGCCCGAGGCGCGTCGGAGCACAAAGCCCAGCTTCAGGAGGCCCAGCACGGCGCCCAACCCCTATCGGGCCATGCTTTTCACGGGCCTGTGCCGTGCTGTGCCGGGCCGGCCCGTTGGCCATCGGCTCCGGGCCCCTGTGTCATACGCAGCCAACTCCCGCGTTGGTTTCTCGTTAAGCTAAACCCGCACCGCGAGGGAGATGGTGGTGGAGTAGACGCAATCCCACGCGAATCCCATCGAGTCGAGCCCAGCAGCACGCCGAGGAATAAACCGTCGAGGAGGAAGGAGGGGAGGCCGCGAGGTGGGCCCCAGGATGCAGGTGCAGAGGTCCCCGTTGATGGCGGGGGGTGGCGGCGCTGCGGCGGCGGCGGCGGGGGCGGCGGTTGGGATGCCGTCCCAGGGGACGGTGACGGTGCGGCGGCGGTGCGAGGGCACGGCCATGGGAGCCATCACGCTCGACCTCCGCCCCGGCCTCGGCGTCGGCCCCTTCACCCTCGGTGAGAACCCTAATCACCTACCGCCGCCCCGGCAGGAATCAGCGGTCGCTGGTTGCTTCCTTGCTTTCCTCTCGTTTTGCAAGGAAGGGAAAACACTCAAAGACTTGTTTTTTAAGTAAGAGTTTTGTTAATTTTTTTAACTTTAGCCAATTCTGACTTGAGAGGTCGCAATCGGTGCAGGGATGCCGATCTCCGATGCTTTTGCGCAAATAGAGCGCCAGCCGAATATCTATGACGTTGTCCACGTGAAGTACTTCGACGAGGTTTGTGAGACGAGGTGCACGAGTTTATTGGATGCCAGGGATACCAAAATATTCTTAACTGATCGGTGGTGTTGGTTCTGTGGCTTCAGGAGCCTCTCAAGTTGGACTTTGTCATTAGCTTTCCGGACCATGGATTTCACCTACGCTTTGATCCTTGGTCGCAGGTATGCTCGGGCTAGTTTGTTACATTTTAGGCATTTTTTGTTTTGATACAGTCAGCGTTGAATGCATGAGAAATCAGTTGCTCATGACAATTAGTTAAGACTATAGTGGACCACTTTTGCAAACTCAAATTGGAGTGTGTTATGCATTAGCCTACCCCAACTCTTGTGGCTAAAAGGGTTTGCTGCTGTTATTTTTTAGTGTGTTATGCTTGAAATATAGGAAATATAATGTGGGTAATTGAGAAAAGGAACTCATCATGGTTAATAATTCTAATTTATGCATGGGGAAAAGAATATTTGAGAATGTGTGCTGTGTGGAAATGACACTTGTTTTTAGGCTTCAGAAATTACTAAACTTATATGGTTTGTATTATCCTTGCAGAGGCTCCGTCTTGTAGAAATTTATGATGTTAAGAGATTGCAATTGCGATATGCGACAGCTTTAATTGGGTAAGGATCTTGTGATCATGATCTTTCATTGTTAAATCTGTGTGAAAGTGGAGGTACTCAAAGTCTCAAATAAATCCTGTTCAGATATGTTGTTGCAATTGCACTCATTTAGCAAGGTTGTGTGGTGTTACTGATCATTCTCTTTTTCACTTTCAGTGGCCCGTCAACATTAGCCACTTTTGCGGCTGTGTATGCACTCTTCGGACCCACTTTCCCTGGTATATATGACAAAGAGAGGGGAATTTATACGTTGTTCTACCCAGTATGTCATGAAAAATAGCTCTGTTTTTTCCCTCTTTCACAGTTCATCTTGTTTTCTTTCCCTTGGTCTGTTGGTGGGTTTGTCTTACTGGTAAGCTTTTGTAGGGTTTATCCTTTGCATTCCCTATTCCCAGCCAATATACAAATCTATTCACCAATGGGGAAGGTATTCTTTCTACCTTAGAGCCAATTCAGTTGTGAATGTTCTATTAGTACCCATATTTACGTAACATCTTACCCCACTTCTGTAATTGCTATGGCAGTGGCAGATTTGCCCCTGGAATTCCCAGACGGAACGACCCCTGTTACTTGCCGGGTTTGTATATACGATAGCTCGACAGATAGCAAGGTTGGGGTTGGATCTTTGATGGACAAAGCAGTGGTACCTGCACTGCCTGCAGGCAGCCTGTATATGGAGGAGGTGCATGCAAAGGTATGCTATGTTTTTGGTTTTTTATTGACAATGTTTCTGACTTACTGGTTTTGTTGAAGCTGAAGACATATTTTGATGTTTCATAATCTGTGTGATCCAGACTATCTAGTTTGACCTCTTAGCCTCCAGTCCTGTCCCCACCCACCCATGCACCTGTTTTCTTAGGAAATGTATGAACCTAATAAGCAAAATAAAATGAAGAAAAAGCTGGTCGTGGGATATGCCTTTCAATGCGTGCTTGTTTTAGACTGTTTTTTAATGTTGAATGAAAAATATATATTTTTGCTTTGTTGCGTTAAGGAGAATCATACAATCACTGGTATCTTCGTGTGTATGAATAAATTGGGGGTTTTTGTATGTTGTTTTGTCTTACCAAGTCTTACCAGTGGAGCAAACATTTTCTTATATGTGTATAATTTTGTACTGTTTTCAGCTGGGTGAAGAACTTTGGTTCACAATAGGGGGCCAGCATATTCCTTTTGGTGCATCACCACAGGTACATCTCATATCTATTTGCTGAAGTAAAATATAACTTTAACATTGGCCCTGATTTGTCTTTTACTTGAATTTCTTTTTTCAGGATGTCTGGACTGACTTGGGTCGTCCTTGTGGTATCCATCAGAAGCAGGTCAGTTTTAATTGAGGCATCAGAGTAGATATTTCACAAAATATGTATTTCTTTGAATTGCCAACATTATGTAACATATGACATAAGCTAAACTGAATTGGTTTCCATGTGAATTTACTTTTTTTGCTTACTCATGGAAGCATGTAGATAATATTTTAGCCTATTCAAAGCTATTGAGAGCGTGAGACTAGGCAGTATTTCTGTGGCATATGATTAAGTTTTGTTTGGTAAAGATCAGTATAAAGGAATGCCATTCTCCCTGGAATCATTGGTGCATTCTCTACTGGAATGCTTACTATGTTTGCTCTCCCATCTTGTAGGTGGACCAAATGGTCATACACTCTGCATCAGAACCCCGGCCTCGGACAACCCTTTGTGGTGACTACTTCTACAACTACTTCTCACGTGGAATTGATATCTTATTTGACGGACAGGTGTGGAGTATTTCATCACACTAGGATTGTGCAACACTGTAAATAGCTTTTATTGGCTTGGATTTGAAATAGCATATTGACAGAGTTTATTGTCCTTGCAGACACATAGGATAAAGAAGTTTGTTTTGCACACAAACTTCCCTGGTCACTCGGATTTCAACTCATATAAGAAATGCAACTTTGTTATATATGACGCTGAAGGTCTGAACTACTCATAATAAAAAAATAGTTTGCTGTGATGGAATAATCCAATCCAATCATCCATCTGGTCTTTTTTCAGCTGAAGATACATGTCAGCCTGGTAATGTCTCAAAAAATTGCATAACGCCTAGTACAAAATGGGAACAAGTTAAGGTATGGTGTTTTAAATGACTTATTAACACTGCTGATGGTACCACTGGTAGTCCTTGATGTCTTATTTGGCCTCAGAATGCCATTTGATTTTTTCCATGTAGTTCTAAAGTTATCATCTTTGCTTTGAAATGCCATTTGTTACAATTTTTGCACACTCCTTTTTGCATCTTGTTTCGTTGGCTTCATGGATTGCTTTCACGAGTCCTTTTCATCCTTAAACAGTGAATGGTAAACTTATTCATGATATAAAATGATCTACTAGGTTTTATTTTGCATAGTTGGTTTTTAGCATAATCACACTAATGTTCTTGCACTAGTCAGCTTTGGCTTTGCTTTTTCTAGAGCACTTACCTTTTAAGTAGATATTGGTCTAAGCTGTATTATCAATGGAGCAACGCTTCTGAGTGCCAATATGCATCTTACTGCATGCTTATATGTCATATTTTTCTGTCCTTTTGACAACCCTTGTTTTTACTGTATTAGGAGATCCTCGGTGACTGTGGCCGAGCTGCAATCCAGACACAAGGCTCCATGAACAACCCATTTGGATCAACTTTTGTATATGGTTATCAGAATATTGCTTTCGAGGTGGGTTTTATTCGATCGCACTCCAAATCTGTCCCCCCTGTGTATATCAGATGTGACATTGTGTTATCTTATTGGTTAATAGGTGATGAAAAATGGATATATTGCAACCGTTACTCTCTTCCAATCATGAGGTATGTAATGTAGCTGTTGCCCATAATGTGCATCGTCGAAGCACGGCTATGCTATGTTTGATCATTGGGGAGCATGGACTTAGTTAACTATTCCATTTTGACAGTGTGCTACATGTGCTGCTGCTCTGAATTCTGTCTGCATAGGTTAGACAACAAAGCTGGTTAACCTACAGTTGTACTTGTGCTTCAGCAGCAGCAATTTCAAGTCGAAGCCAACTCTATGGAGCCTCGGTGCTTGGTTTATGGAATGCAATCCAGCTGCACAGTCGATATGACCAGCACCGTGACATGTAATTGTGCTGTAGATGCTGCTCATTGTACAGGAACTAACTGTACTCTGTGACCTCACCTTGTGTATATAAATGGTGTTTATTTGTTGAAAAAGAAAATGTACATACTGCCATGTGGTCATCTAATGGAACGTTGATGTGATTCGTCTAGTAGTTTGATATTGGTTTTTGTCTCTATCGTTGTTTACCTAGCAGAACCAAGTTCATTGTACTTAACAACAAGCTGCTGGAGAGCCTCGGCTACGAGGCCTCCGTGAGGTCAATTAGTAAGGGCTGTTTGGTTAAAAGCCTGACTTGCTTGAAGAAAAGTCCATGAGGTTGGTCGGTTAAGGTATGTTTGGTAACACGGCATCGGTGCTTGCCTGGTTGGGATGTGGCGTGGCACGGCCACTCATTGCCGCCCACAATTCCGTTGCGTCACCTGCGGTCTATGGATCAAGCAAGCTCATGGCTATTAGATTTTTTTAAAAGAAAATAAGTACAAAGACAACCTACACTATATATATGACAAAAACACACAGGTGTGCCGTTCGGCTGACCTTAAGTTTTGGCTTCGACTTCTTTTTTCAGCCGAAATAGTATTTTTCTCTCACAACAATTCAGCTGGAACAATGTTTCCAGCCAAATTCAGCCAAACTGAACAACCTCCTCCCCGAACGCCCGTAGGCCGTAGTAGGTTGCTTGCAAAACCTGAGTAATACATTGATTTCTCACCTGAAACGTTGTAGATGATGCTCCGCGGTAGGTTGACCTAGCGAAAAAAGGATTTCAGACATGAGTATTTCTTTATATAAAAAAACCGAGATTACCTATCTACAGTACATTCGAAACAAAAAACACAGAACATAAGATTAGGACTGGGTATACCAGTTTACTAGCAAAGCTAGAGAAAAAAAAGCAACAATATCATGGAGTACATTGAGGCCACGTTTACTTCCAAAACCAAATTCCTAAAAAATGCTACAAGAATTATCAGACGAGTATTTCTTTATATTAAAAAACCGAAAAATTACCTAATTGCACAGTATTCGAAGCAAAAATCACTAGAGCATAATGTTTTGAGTCTAATTAATCCATGATTTACTAGCTAATTGCTAAATAAAAGCGAAAAAAAGCAAATTCCCAAATTTCACTCAACTGGAGTATATTAAAGGTTGTATAATTAACGTAATCGGTATGGAGAATAAACTGCACATATGAGAAACATACATCTATTGAAAGCTTTATTATAATATAAGCTGTATAAATACAACAGATCAATAGCTTCGGTACTGCTTGCTTGCAGCAGTGCTGTGGCTGCAGCAAGCCTACCTATATCTTTGGATCTTATGGAGTACTCTCTCTGTTCCAAATTATGAGACGTTTTGACTTTTCTAGATACATTGTTTTTACTGTGTATATAGATATAGTATATATCTAAGTGTGTAGCAAAAGCCATGGATCTAGAAAAGCCAAAACATCTTATAATTTAGAACAGATTGAGTAGAAAATAAATAGCCATAGCCGCTGCAGCCATTTGAGTTGCACAGCCGAGCAGGCTTTAAGCAAAAAGAAGCCAAATGGTGATTATTTTGAAGCTTTATGAATGCATTATTTTTGTGGATTTTAAATGGATGGAAATGCAACTACTTAGGGGTGTTTAGAACTGCTCTACAAACTCTGCTCCACAAGCTCCATTGTAGAGCAGCTCCATAAAAAACTAGAGTTTGTGGAGCACCTCTTTAAGTGCTCTCATGCACGGTTTCAGGTGGTGTATAGTGACTGCTGTTAATTGTAGGATTAGATGTTTAAGAGTGCTGATAGTGCAACAAACAACCAGCAGTTCTTGTACTAGCTCAACACCGTTTGATGTAGAAGTTTATAAGCATACACGCCCTACATCACTTCACAACGAGATGCCATTAGTGATGGGGTTGAACACAAACAAAACGCACCGCAGAGCGGTGGAACACACACTGGTTTGATTAACTAAGAAACTAATTCTACGACCAAAGTGTTGGGTCAGCGCTGCCCACTAGGCATGCTCAATATCGGGCAGCACCATGCCCATGCGCGCTCCAGCCATCGGGAACAGCTCACGCATGGCGGCCTGCTTGGAGGCGGAAAGCGGCCCGGCAAACATTTCATGGAACTTTGCCGCAATGGCCGGATCCGGCGTCTGCGACCCGTTCGCCGCTCGCGTCTCCACTTGTTGAGAAGGACGCGCTTCGCCTGCTTCTCTGGGTTGGGGTCGCGGTGGATGGGCTTGGCAGCTAACCTGTCACTGCGTCTTGGGACGAACACGAAGTCATCAAGACGCGATACACGACGGCACGGGGAGGATGCGATCAGCGGTTCCTCCAGTGGTAGCTTCAGGGATGCGATGAAGCTCTGCAAGGAGGCCGCAGGTACTATAGGTGATCTAATAGGTGCCACTGCCGCTGTCGGCTAAGCGCTTGGGGTCACGACTTGGGCCACCTCATCGACAACGGTCACAACTGTGGAGGGCGCCGAAGATTCCTCCATATCCTCGGCCACAGGCTATAGTACATCCTCCAGCCCGAGCCAGATGAGGAGGTGGTGCCGTTGTCAGCCCCCAACGCGCCACAGTTCTCGACGTCTACCCTAGGTTCATCCAGACCTGGAAGTACTAGGCTCTCACAAGTCCCCAGCACTCCCAATGAGGCTGGGGCTGCCACACCCACCGACAGCGACCCAGGGCATAGACAAACTTCAACCAACATAGGGTCGAAGGTTCGTTGCGGAGCCTCCGAAAGACGGTCCACCACGAGCTCTTACTCCCAACATGCTATGCCCCTCCGTTCATCACCTCCCTGCAGAACGATAGCCGGAGAACCCGGCTTTGACATCATGCCCCACTCACAAGACATGGGGTCCCAAGGGATGTCAGCCAACTGTGACCTGGTCTCCACCAGGGCGGAAGTGAGGGAGCTGAATGAGGGGACCCACTCTAGCTCCAACGACTGCCCAAAGTCTCCGCCATCGGCACCTTTGAGGAGGGGACCGCTGGAAGGGTCCAAGGAGTCCGAGCGAGCAGACGTCGAGTCGTCCACGATGTGCGGATTGGGCTGCTGTGATGACCTCCTCCGCGGCACCCCACGGCGACAGTCGAACGAATACGACAGCGGGGGACCTCGCCTGCCCTCCCTAGCAGTCACCGTTAGACAACAATCCTGGGCCCGATGGCCTTCACGCCGGTAGTTGAGGCATCACGACAGGAAAGTGCACGCCGCCTTGACGTGATCGCCTGCCAGGCAGTTGAAGCATAGGCCTACGAGATTCGGAGGGACTGGCCTTGCCGGCCATGGCAGCACCCGATGGAGGCTGTGCACCTGGTAGAAGCCCTCAGCATCAGGCTCCATGGACATCCTCGCGGGGTGGATGATGATAGAGGCCAGGCGCCTCTCTGGCGCTAGCTCAATGCCTCGCACAGCGCCCATGGAAGCCTCGTTTGCGCCAGATCGACGGGGGCGGTGACTGACGGACCAGGGTCCTAGGGGTTCCCCACGGGTGTAACACCTCAGGTTTTTGTCACCAGTTAAGCAATGGGTTTGAGCTCAAACATGACATGTTATGTGGTGATGAAGGTGTCAAGATCAAATCTACAAGAGTGAGCTCCAACTTAAACTTAGACAACACACCCTTACTTACATGTGTACCCTTGTTAAGATTATGCAAGAGTAATGTTAAACATGCTTATTTCATGTACATTACATCAACATCCATCCATCTTGACCAGTGGAAAAGTTTCATGAAGTTTGGAGCTAAAAAGTTACATGAAATGATGAGTTACATTCTTGCTTGAATTGAACTATTAAGTGAATGGAATTATAGGTCATCAACCAAACCTTGCTACCTTTCCCAAATGACTCTAATTGAACTCTACAACAAAAGTCATGAAGGGTTCGTGTTGAGCAAATGTCAAGAAAAGGCCACAATTGCTCAAAAACCCTAATTCCAGGGTTTAACGAGGTGCTGCTTTGACCAAGATGAAGAAATGGTTTCTCTATGAGATATGAAGTTTGACCGTTAATAAAAGTTGAAGTTTGAGTGGAGTACAACAAACTTTATTTTTGGACCAAGACCTGATTCAACTTCTAAGTGGCTAAAACAGAGGACTCAAGATGGAATCAACTGCTGTTTATGGGCTCTAAATAATTCTAAGTATGGAATTCATCGTCATTGACATTGGCGTTTCGCGTTCTCAGATTTTTGTTAAGCAACTCAAGTTGAGCCAAATATAAAAGTTGGAATATATGTTTTGGAGAAGGACATACAAAAAGTCAGAATCAATTGGACCTACGTTTTGACTAAGTAATTCGAGCTCAAGCAAAGAAAGGCTTAATCCTCAATTAGTCGCTGACACTGTCAACTTTGAGCTTAATTAGGTGCTAATGGAGAGCTCTAATGGCTAGACACCCTTAATGAGTTTTGTAGACCATTAGGTGGGCTGCAACTTCACTTTTGGGCCCAAGGTCCAAATCAGCCCGTAGCTAGCCTAAATCGGCTCCCCACCTCGCCCACACCGACGCGCGCCAGGTGTTTGACGGCGGGCCCCAAAGGTGACATGCGGTTGCCATGCTCACCGCCCCTACTCCACACATCGGGGACACCCTGCCCAAGCTACGCCACTGCCAGACATTGTCCCGCCCTGAGCTCCACTCCGCGCTCGCCTTCTCTTCCCTTTCTCTCGCTCTTGCCGTCGCTGC